TCAGAGAACCCCAAGGACTCCACAGTTCAACCCTGAGCTATACATATTCGCCTCTATTGGTGACTGAAGGTTGCTGGGGGATGGATCAGGAAGAACAGGCTGACAAGACCATGTGGCTACATGTTCTCCTAGTACCATGGATTTTCCATCTTTAGTAGCACTTCCCCAGACAGAATTGGTGCCCTCTTGGACCACAGCTCCTGCTTGAGGAGCAGATGGCAGCTGTGGCCCAGGGATCCCTTATCCAGATTTGTCTGGTTCAATAAGCACACCCTTTTCTGGACCGGGAGTCCCTTCTCATGGTCACTCGTGCCTTGGTCACCGCACGTATGGACTATCACAATGTGCTCTGCATGGTGCTGCTCTTGAAGACCACTCTAAAGCTACAGCTGATCCAAAATGTGGCAGTAAGGGCAGTTATGGGCACACCTATGCTGCGTGAGCAGATAAAATTCAAAATGCTGGCGGCGACCTATAAAGCCTTTCATGGCATAGGCCTGGCCACCTGAGGGACCGCTTGTCTCCATCCCCCTGGTGAGGTCTAGCAGACTGCACGCAGTCAGGGTCCCATTCATCAAACCATGTTGTCTTGCAGGACCGAGGAAGCGTGCCTTCTCGATGGCAGCACCTGGTCTTTGGAACAGTATCCCCCAGAGCCTCAGGTTGCCCTGACCCCATGGTGCTTTAAATGGGCTCTTTCCCCAGGCATTGGCTCAGGAGGGGTGTGCTCCTCTGGAAATTTTATTAATATGCTTGGTTCGTCATTCTCTGGGTTACTGCGTTCTTTTAATTTTACCTTATTGTTTTTATCCTGTATGCCAGCCAGAGTCGCTATGAGTTGGGTGGCCTGTAAATCTGACGTATAAATAACTGAACCAATGGTACAGTTACCACCCATATTTCCAATGAATAAATCCTGCTTTGAGCAGCAGGCTTCCAGGTGTGTCAGTCCACAGGAGAGGGCTGCTCTCTAGTGGCACGGGATAATCCCCCAGCTCCTGCTTATGTTGCCACAGCCCCCCAAGCTTCTTAAATTGCACCAAGAGGCGTCCCGATCCAACACTCTCCCCCTTGCAAGAGTCCAAGAGCAGCAGTGGCGTGACGCATCCACTCTCTCCTCTGGCCCCTTTCAGACAAAGTGTGCTGCAGTCTGGGAAGGGGTCACCTGGTTCATGGCTGGGCCTGGTTTTTCACGTTGAGTCAGGGCTGGACAGTCCACAGTTGTCCGACCCTTTCTCTGACCTTCCTATAGACTCTCCCAAAGCAAGAAGCAGGAGGAGGACCCTGGGAGCACGCTGGGTCCACCACTAAGCAAACCCCCTGGGCCCCACGAGGAGGAAGAGAACGCTTCTTCCATGCAGTGCTTTGCCCAGCTCCCAGAAGGTGACAGCAGTCCAGCTTTCCTACAGATCCCCCCTACTTCTTCTCTGCTTTTCCTCAACACAAAAATCCACCAAGCAGGGACAGAAGAAGAGCTGCACTAAGTCTCTGGGGTGGGGAGTAGGAGAAATGGTCCCCCGGAAGCACCTCAGGGTTCAAGAAGTGGATTGCCCTTGGCGCTCTCCTAATCCGAGACCAAGATAAGTCCCTAGTTTGGGACTGGCATTCTACAGAATGTATAGGGCCCACAGTATAATTGTAAATGTATAGACAATATTACTATAGGCCTTAATTATATGTAATCATTTCAGGTGAATTTTCATTTTTTACTTAGCTGAGATTTCGGGGATGAGAACCTTTTCTGTAGGAACTTTGCTGGACCTGTGCACTGGGTGCCCTGTCTCTCTGCTTCTGTAACCTCACTCCTGCTGGCTGAGAGGAGAAGCATCAAGAGTTTGCATGGTGTTCAGGAAACAGCCCGGGGGCCTAAGGCAAACCCACAAGTCCTTCCTGTGGGGTGAAACAAGAAGACCCAGAGGGGCTTGTTCCACGGGGACCACCACCGCCCAAGCAGTCCCATCTTAGCGGTTCAGGAAGAGACTGCATCACGGTTTGGGACTTCTCGGCTCCACCAAACCAGCTTCCAAACAGCCCTTTGTAATGGCCGAGGGCAGCCGGCTCGCCCTGGCTCTTCCCGCTACCCCGGTGCGAGGAGGCTGGCAGGAAACAGCCTGGATCCACAGCTTTGAAAGGCTCCCCGTCAGAGAGCAAAAGCCCTTTTTATGGGACCCCAGGAAGGAGCATTTGGCGGGCAGGCCTTGGGTTGGAGCTGGCAGGTGAGCTTCCCTTCTCCTCCTCCCCACAGGCTCCGCGGAGGAAAGAAGCGTGTACCAGAAGGCCTGTGCCCAGCTCTCCGGCTCCAGCGCGGCGGCCAGGAATGCCAGCCCCTCCGACGCAGCGGCTTCCGAGTTGATTTCCCACCCAGAGCTCTTCGGGAAATTTAAGCTGGCCCAGCCACCGGTGCTCGGCAAGGACATCAACCTGATCCTCACGCTCTCCAACCTGTCCACCTCCCCCAAGTCGGTCACCGTCAACCTGAGCGTCTCCAGCGTCCTCTACACCCGCAGGGCCGTCAGAGAGATCCTGAAGGAGGCCATCACGCTGAGCCTGGGCTCCAAGGAAGGTAAGCAGCCAGCCGATCTGAGGCACGCTTCGTAAGGCGGGGGAGCCGTCCCGCGGCACCCCCAGCTCCTGGCCGTCCTTGGGGGCGCTCCTGCAACCCCCCCCACAAGGCGGGAGGCACCGAAGGCAATTCCGCAGGAGCCGAGTACGGAGCCCCCCAGCCCCGGCCCCCGCTCGGTTTTATCCCCCCCCCGCCAATCCTGAGCAGGCAGGGAAGGGCTCCTCAGCTTCCAGCAGCCGCCCTTCGC